GGGGGGGGGCAGAGAAGGAGACGGGCGGAGGAAGGCGGAAAGATAACCCCGGCGTGGTCGATACACTCGGGACGGAGGCGAAGGAAGAAGGCCTCTGCTGTGTGGACGCTCCCCCCTCTCCCCGGCAGGTACGCGCCCTGGTGATGCAGGCCAGGACCCTCTGGCCGTGCTGTGTATCGTATCGGCCTGCCTGCTCGGTCTGCCGGCCGGGGGCCCCGCCTGCCTTCCGGGTCGCTGGTTTACCGAGGGGGTGGGAGGGGGAGAGTCCCGCCACGGCGGCGTGGCGTGGAGAGAGGAGAGGGGCAAATAGAAAGAAGAGTGCGCGCAGGAGTGTCGGAGTGGTGTCGGAGGGAGGGCGGCGGGGGGTGAAACCGACTCCGCCACTCCTCCTGCTCCTCGATGTAACGATGGCGTTGGGCAAATAAACTTTTAGTCGCTCCGTAATGATGTCTGCGGCAGCGTGCTCCGCCACGCCCCGCCCGCCACGCCACGCACGCCATGCCACGCCACGCTACGCTACGCCCTGGCCGCCCGCCGACCGCGCGCTGTCTGCAGCTCTACCCCATCATCATGGTGTCACTCGACCCCGGCCGTGCCTGCTCAACGCAAGGTTGTTTGTGTGTGTTACCTTAACTCTGACGGGGGGCATTTGTTTCACAAATTGCCCTTCTTTAAAGCGGCTCTTGTGATACAAAAGTGTGGCGATTTACCTCTCAGCAGGGCTAGTGGAATCGAGGTTGCCTATGGAATAAACCAAACCTCCAAAACTTAATGGCAACTTGGTAATAAAGTTCTTTTTTTTCCGGAGTACTCTCGGTCAATCTCATTTACACCTTTTTCATTTCCACTCTCCTTCCTACCCGCCTCCTGTTTTCTGTTTCCTGCTCGCTCCCCTTTTCCCCCTCGTGAGACAGCTCGATCAATTCCTAACACCGCGGCCCCGTGTGTTGCTTGCATTACTCATTCATGGGGATTAAAAAGCCAAACAAAGTGAGGAGGATGGACTGGATTGGCCTGTGCGTGTGTGTGTGTGTGTGTGTGTGTGAGTGTGAAATGGGAAAGGGGAGGGGGGTAGCGAGCGCTCTGCCGTGCACTGGGCTTACACTAGGCTACACTGCTCCGAATAAATGGATATTTAATGACTGGAAATGCTCACAAGAGCGGCAGTCACTAGATGTTCCATAAAATTCCTCATTTCGGTGAGACATTTTGTTTTTCTTTCCTCGTGAAAACTAGTGCTGAAGACTCGAGGTCTATGCGGCTTTGCTGCTTTGAGAATCCCGGGCTATCCTCCACCGCAAGCGGAGGCCATCGGCTAGGGTTGCGAGGGGGTTGGCCTCTGGGCCACAAGGCACAAGGCTACTGCGCCGAAAGGTCACGGGCCAGCGGGCGGCACAGCAGCTCCCAATTCTGGAAGCTATGTGCTGAGTGTGCTGTGTAAGTATGTTGTGGAGAGGGGGGGGGGCGAGGGCAGGCTCCACTGTGTATGTGTGGTGGGGGGAGGGGGGGGGGCATACATAGACATACGCACTCTAAATGTCAAAGTGACCCTTGTCGGTTTGAGTTGACTAATACGGAACCGATACAAAAATTTTCGAAGTTGGACTGAAACTGATAAGAGTTCTCAAATCAAAAACTTGGAAAAACTTCCCCACCCCAAAACTAGACAATATAAGTCCAGACCTGTTTTAAAATTTGAAAATCCAGTTGAAAACCTCGCGCAGTCGTCATCGTCGCGTTTTCTCCTGTGCGACTAAATAGGAAGTTTTGAAAATTGAAGCTCTGCACAAAATTTGAGCATTCGTTACCTACCGGGTGATTCAGAGAAGACGCAGGTGCGCTCGGGTTTGCCTGTCCTCGACTCGGCGGGCGCACGGGTCCAGGTCTCGGGAGAGGTAAGGAGGGGACCCGTGCGCCCACCGAGTCGAGGATAGGCAAACCCGAGCGCACCTGCGTCTTCTCTGAATCACCCGGTACATAGGTGAGTTGAGTTTGAGCTAAATCGGGAATTCAACCCTACCCAAATCTCCTCGTTGTAAGCGGCGTGGGGTGGGGCCTGAGCGTTGGATGAAGGAGAGGATGAACACGAACACGCGAGGAGCAGGGAGGGGGAGCGGGGTTTATTCTTCTGAAGGCGGCGATACAAACATGTTGAGGAATGGATGAGGACGTGTTGCCGGGCGGGTGGCCCCGCGCGCTCTCAGACGAGGTCTTGGCGTCTGTGAAGGGCTTGCCGGCACGGTGCTCCACCAACCACTCCCCCACCTCGCCAAGCCACACCACGGCACGCCACACCACGCTCTCGTAAAGTTAGGGGGTGAGGAGTTGGGTCTCGTGACGCTCCCAGCGCAAATACGCTCCTCCTGCCGCCGCCCTGTGATAATTAGCGAATCGAAGTGGGAAAGTCGCGAGCACAAAAGAGTGGAAGGAGTGGGGGTGGGGGGTGTGCTCTAATGCGAGCAGGGGCGCCAGGGGCGGGCCCGTGAGCCGATGTTATCTCAGCCGCGGAACTCTTTTGTTCATTCGTTTTTACGCTCGGCTTGCCATATTTGATTACTCGGGGTTGTCTGCTTCTGCTCGGGGGGGGGGGGGGGGGGGGGGACGTGGCGTCTAGCGGTAGTACCCGAACTCAGCGGGGCGGGGGTAGGACGACGGGGTCGTCTTGCTAGTTTACAGAACTGTCTGACTTGGTTGGCGCATCGCACGGCAGCGCGTCGGCAGGCGTGTTGCTACTGCTGCTGCTTTGGGGGCAGGTCGTCGTCGAAATGAGGCGGAAGCTCGGCGGCGCCGGGCACCGCGGAGTCGGGGGAGCAGCGCGGGGCTGCTGGCTGAGCTTCCGGCCCGACTTCCGGTCTAATTAGGCGGAATAAGGCGCACCGTGACGAGCTGTTACGCTGCTCCTGAGGGGATGGCGTAGGGCACGGGCACGGCTGAGAGAGAGAGAGAGAGAGAGAGAGAGAGAGAGAGAGAGAGGTGGCGATAATGGGGCTGTGTGCAGGGGATTCGGCACACCTCGTACCAACCTCAATGCCCCCCTCTGAGCAGCTGCCGATGCGTACTCTCCCCCACTTACCAAGTTAAGCTCCTGGCGCCGCTTTGTGATCTGCGGGACAGAAAAAACATCAGTCAGCGTGCATGTCGTTAAAAGTCGTTGCGGTCTTGTTCTTTTTTTTTTTTCTTTGATCTGGCGTCGTTATCACAGGTATCGGAGCGCAAGCGCTACGTTTTGTCGGGTCGCAAATTTACTCTGGTGCTGCAGTGAATCCGCACCCGGGTGTTTCTTTGCACTGGCGGCTTTGCCTGTACTCCGCTCCACTCCCTCTGCCCCTGTCAAGTCGCACCGTGGCCCCTGTGAGTTGGAGCCAAAACCCAACAGCACCCGGTACGTACACCGCGTAGTATCCTATCTCACTCTAACTCCCCCCTCTTTTAGCCCCTCTCTATCTCACTCTCACTCGTCCCCGCCCGCCTCCCCCCGTCTCTCCCCCGCGCTCGCTTTTTGGCACCAAGGCCGTGACGCGGCGCGACGCGCCATGCAAAAACAGCCGACGATCCGACGAGATGAATGTGCCCCGGGCAATTAATAGGATTGAAAGCCACACTGCCAAACCGTGCTATTCAATCTCCCTCTCCATCCGCGTGCGTTATGCGATATAGCGCGTAGGAAGATATTATATGTTGCCCGAACGAAATTAATCCACCAACACCCACCAAATGCCGACGCAAGCAAACCGAAAATTACAAAGAAAACTAAATGAAAGCTTAGTATTAAAACGAACACACACTCTGTTGCTTATTTGGAAATGAAACCATTTTGACGGTGAACTTATAGCCGCACGAGTAGCCCTTACCGGAGCATATGTAGCTGACCTTCATTGCTAAATTTTCGCATGCACCTTCGTCGCCAATATATTGGCTATGTACTTTCGTTGCCAATGTATTGGCTATGCACTTTCGTTGCCAATATTTTGTAAATAAACATATAGCCAAATATGTTGTTGGGAGCTTGCTTCCTGCTGGACCTCCCCCCCCCCCTGTTTTATCATCTGGCTTCTTATTGGCGATGTGCAACTTTTCACCATTGGATAGAGTGACCGAAGACCCCAGTTCGAATTTACACGAACTCGAACAAAATTAGCCCCAAAATCTTTGGCCCTACCCGAACCCGAACAGTAGCATTTTCTCTTAAACGAACAGAACTTAACAGTTTTCTTTTAAAATTTGAGCGAACAAGCAAATCTGTTACTATTTGCTCCCTCCCCCCAACAGTTGCTACTTTTCAAACAATTTTTAAAATTGAGCAATTTAGGTTATTGTTGATATTGGCTGATATCCTAATATCCTAAGCGGCAATGACGGATTCAAAACGTATCCAGCACTTGCATCAAAATATGCACCGACAATCATCACGATTACGAAAAACAGTGTGAACACACGTGCGACGAAAACCGACGTGCTTTTGTGCTGACACGATGCCAGGGCACGTTCATGCTCTGCGCACTAAATTGACACTGGTCGCTGATAACGACCTGCCCCTCCCTAAACAGGTGGTGTGCGAACGATCCAACGATTGGGACGGCGCGATAGGGGACGCTGGGGGTGCATCGCGCGGCTCAGCTTGTTGCTGCAAGCGGGCGCCAGGGCGCCGCCAGCAGAGCCAGCAGAGCCAGCAGCCCCGGTCCAGAGACAGGGGGAGTTAAACGAGGAAAGAAATGTCGAGGGGGAGAGCCAAGCAGCCCCCCAGACCAGCTCGAGCAACAGCGTCGGCAGGACCGAGCAGGACGGCGCGGGGTCTCTGCGCCCGGCTGCCCCCCCCACCGCAGTTTGGAAGCAATTTGCCCTGATCCGCCCGGCGAGGAGCAAATCTGCTTTAAAGCTCAGCGCGTTGTCCCCTCGCTCCCTCGCGGCTCTTTGCTTCTTGGGCGGTATATAAACGGGATGCGGACGAGCGGCTCCGGGAGAGAGTCTTGATGGCGCTTGGCGTGCAAAAGTCTCTCCCCATACATACGCGTCGCTCTCTCCCCCGAGCGGCGGGCTTCATCGAAATCCCGAAGGTTTTCCGCGCGAACCACAACAAAGGAGTCGCCGCCAGAGTTTCCGGCGTAAAACCGAGCGCGCTGGTGCAGAATTAATTTTGACAAAGACGGATATCCGCCGCAAGCGCCTCGGCGCGCCCGCTGGGCCTGCGCTCTGCTGCTGGGCCTCCTCGAGACCATCGACATGTGTGTGATGAATGAGTTACAGTGATTTGGCCTCAGTGTGTAGCTCGCCCGCCTCGCTGCGCCACGCCCCGGCCCCGGGGGAGCTGCTGCGCCCCTTTGTCTAAAGTCAGTCACACAAAACTCTCGGGGCAGACAGCGGTAGCGCTCTAGCCAGCAGTGGCACAGGCGTGGCGTGGCTGGCCTGCGGGCGAGCGCGCGGCTGCGCCCGGCCCGGCCTTGGTGCTCGAACTTGACCTCCCCCTCACCCTCTCCCCTGCCCTTGCGGTCTGTTTCGGCGGCGGCAGCAGCCTTGGATGAAGCAGTACAAGTTTATTGTGGACTTGAATGCAAACTGATGATAAAGGAACGACCCTGTGTACAACTTGGCCAGTATAGCCGAAGAGGGGCGGAGCGGGACGGGGCCCGGCAGAGCGAGAGCGTTTGTGTGGAAACGAGAGCAATTGTCGTAAGTCTTGCTCTGAGATGTTTGACCATGCAGAGGGCTGGTATGCCGGCAGTCCGCTGCCACCGCTGCCGCACGGGCGGAACGTCCGTTTGGCAATGAAATCAGACCTGCTTTGTCAGAGGAGAGAGGACAATTTGGTGCGGCGGTTGACTTGACAGACGGCGGTGGCGGCGTACCACGTTCTCTCCTGTTTCCTCGCCTGCTGGGGAAAAGTAGAGTAATCGGGAATTATTTGCTAAAGTATCGAAATTGTTTGAAAGTAATACATCATGCCGAGTTGAAATCTAGGTAGCAAGGTTGAGGTCGGGTACGAGGGTACGAAGTTGCTGCGTCGGACAATGTGCCATAAGAACAGAAACGTCAACAATGTTTGCCGCCCCTTTGCTACGTCAAATATGACATAGAGCGTTTAGTTTCCGAGAATTTCGTTTACTGTTGCGGCGGTGGTGGGGAGGGCGACAAAGTTGGTAAATAATACGTGCCTGGTGCGGGTGGATTGGCCGGGGGCCCGGGCCGCGGCCCTACAGTGTCGCACGTGGCTGAGTACAGTTTCATGGTCCGTAAAGCCCTGGGACTGGCCGGACGCGGGGCGGGGAGGGCTGCTGGCGGCCAGCAGCGGCGGCGGTCCGCAGGCGTAACAGTTTTATCTCCGACGTCTCTCGCTGTGTCACAGTGTCTTGACGTCGGCGCCCGTCCGGGTGGGCCCCTGGGGGTGCTCGGCCATGATGAGCGACAAGTCCCCCTTAGCCTGCGCAGGGGCGCGCGCCTCTCGTCCGGTCTAGCCAAGTAGAGCCATTCCGGAAGAAAAGAGGCGGAGCGGCGGCAAGCGCACACCGAGATGCACTCGCTTTCTCAGCGTATTACTGCAATCATCCGACTCTGCTTTTCTAGACTCCTTCGCCGTTTCTAACACGTAAGTACATCTAAGTGGAGCCCCAGTGGAGACTCGCATTGGCGTGCACTTTACATCACCAAAAATAAAAACAAAAACTTGTCAGAACTAATACAAATTAGGCAATTTCGGGATAGACAAGAAATTCGCTGTGGCAGCTAATAGTTGGTTTCCGCAGTCAGTATTACACCCAGAAAAGTGTTGCCTTGAAAAAACATGCAGAAATTTTCTCTCTTGTTTCAAAGACATTCCATTGTTTCATATACAATAAAGAATTTTCCTTGAATTTAGGAAAGTTTTTCCCCGTGTGCATGAAAACATTACGTAGGAAAATTTCCATAATCCAAAGTCATTTTTTTTAAACGTACGACAATATTGCCGTGTCTTTAGGAAACGATTTTCTGCCGATTTTCTGAGTGCAGTTGCTTCAGCGAAGCTGTCGCTTCAGGAGCCAACCGGTTTGTTCTGACAACTAATTGGGTGTTTCCGAGGTGTTTCGCTGTCAGAAACAAAGCGGTTGGCTCCTACAGCAACAGCAACACAGCAAATTTGGGATTTCTTTCCCCAAATCAGCTTACTTGATAGTTCTGAGGACTAATGAGCTTTTGTCACCACTTTACAAGCAGAGCTGCAGAGCCCTTCACGGTGATGTCTAAAAACTGCTGCCTACACCTGCCTACACCTCCCCCTCGAGAGGCTGGGTGGTCTAGCCAGCACAGTCGGCTCTTCTAGAAACATTTGCCCCCTCTTTGCTTCCTTCCATTCTCTCCCCTCCGCCCTAAACTTTTCACTCTGCCGCACCGCCGCGGCTGCTTTCCTCCCTTATTTCTTTACCGCAAATCTTCGCAGGTGTCCCTTTGCAATTATGACGCGCTTCGCCTGAACTTGTAAATGCGCCCGTTTACCTTTATACTTAAAGCCAAAGCCCCCCCCCCTCCCCCCCGACTAATCCTATGGTTCATTCAGTGGCCGAGCGTTTGCCTCCCTATCGACCCCTCTCAGTTCTCGGAGGAGACGCCCCTTTCTCCCCTACCCTTCAGACCAGGTGTTTGCCTTTCACCTCCGACCCTCGCTGCCAGGCCGTCCCGCCCTGATTATTGTCATCACGGTTTGATTGCTCGTTTTCTCTCGCCCCCCTCCCCCCTCCCTCCTATTATGAGCCAAACGCAAACACGTCGTCTGCTGCCGCCCCTGCTCCTTTTGCCCTCTCGCCTTTCGAGACGCGAGAAAGAGAGAGAGAGAGAGAGAGAGAGAGAGAGAGAGAGAGAGAGAGAGAGAGAGAGAGAGGTTAAAGGAGGCCGCGGGGAATACAGAGGGTGCAGGCGGAGGAAAGGCCGGGAGGAGAGCGAGAAATGTATTTACGCATCGCGCCCCGCGCGCCACCAAAATCATTTTCCGGACCGGAAAATGAATGAAAAGAATTTTTAATTTGATCGTGCCCAAGTCGTGCAGAAGATGAAGGCGAGTAAGGCGAGTGCCTCCTTCTCCCGCCCTCTCCTTTTCCTTGCCGCCGCCGGATAGACTTTGTAAGGCGAGTAATTAAT